TTTTGGAAAAATTCATAGATTTTTAGCTATTTCAAATATCCCGCTATTTGACACTCAAGGTTACTTAGTTTTTTGTCCGACGCTAGGTGTTGATAAAATTTAATATGAGACCTCAGCTATATATGTTCTGTGGTCTTCGGCGTTTTCGGGAAGCTCACAATGCTATCGGGCTCATACTCATAACTACTTTCAGTCCAGCTTGACAAAGTTCCGTGTTATTCTGTAGTTTCGTTTTATTATCGCCAATGCATCTGGAGAGATTTTGCAATCGACGTTAAAATACATATTTAGCATATTTTATAATTACAGTTCAAACTACTTTAACCAAGTAGCCTGTCTACCATATCGATTCTATAAGTAAGTAAACCCTGAAACGTTGGAGAAATTTCGTCAAGTTGGTTTGGAAGAGTTCTGTGAAACGTATTTGGACAAGGATAAATATCCTGAGTTTTACAAATATGCTCTGTCGATGGTTTCGCTATGTGGAAACACTTATGCGTGTGAACAGCTTTTTAGTCGCATGAAGTACATCAAATCACAAGTGAAATCGAATTACTGATGTTCATTTGGAAAACTGCGTGTAGCGACATCATCAGTGGAGATCAATTTTGATGCACTTAGTTCTGTAAAACAAAGTCAAATATCTCACTTTTAAATATTTTTAAATTGTCTAATAAATATGTTTGATTCTCGGTTATGTTTTATTTTCTTCAAAAAAATAAATACTGTATACCTATTTTTTGTGTTTTTTTACATTAAACCAGGCAAGTGTTTGACCACGATCTCACCTACTGGGAAGTGACGATGTGGTTGAAGCTGCAGCATGCTTGCTTGTTTACTTTAATTAAAAAAAAAAAAATAGGTGCGTGGCCCGGCAGGAAATATTATTTCTGAAATTTGGCCCGCCTTCTGAAAAAGTTGGCCACCCCTGATTTACAGTTTACATTATATTAAACTGAATGAACATAGTTTTACTTGAGCTAGCACATATGTTTTGTATTCAGATGTGTGTGACTTATATATTTTCTTTTCCATAGGCTAATGTGAGGATAGTGCACCCAGAAACAGATTTCTGTACTCTAAGCATGTGTAGTTTTTATGAATTGTGTGTATATAGTAAGTGTGGAAAATAAATATTATAGCATATGCATGTTAAACATTGTTAATATTAATTTTGTGTAATAATTCATTAATAGTTTTGCAGGTTTTTTACTCAATCTTAACATAGTACCTGCACTGTATCATTTTTAGACAGATGTTTATACATGCTGTTTAAATCAAAAAAGTATATGACAGCAAGCACTGATGCAACAAAGTTTGCAACATTCTAATTACATATTGAATTCCTCAAATATGCAAAAATATCTGGTAATTCAGAGTTTTCAATATTCCAACACCACTTTAATCCTGTAGGTGCAAGAGTAGTGGACTTCTACTATATATCAAAAATATAGATATATTGATATATTTAAAATATACAGTAGAACGTCGATTATCCGAAACAATTGGGGACTGGGGTTGTTCGGAAAATCGATATTTCGGATAACCGATTGTATACGAAAAAATTTATTAATTTATCTTTGTGCTACAATCTTCACAATATCATGTGAATTCAANTCGATGTTAAGCCTAACGAAGACTATTGTATCGTTCAAAATTATTTTTTTATTTTGTACAAACAAAATAAATATATTGAAAAATATAAAAACAATAAAAAAGTATACTTCAGAAGTTAATTTAGTATCAAAAACGTAAAATATTTGAGTAGCCAAAGATTGCAGCACCACAGCACTGGCAAAATTTAAATTTGCCGACTGGAATTCTTTCGGATAATTGACCCTCTACTGTATTTATAAAATAAATTTTGTATCATTTGTTTTATGAAATTTTTATTATTGTTGTTTTCAGTGATATAATGTATTGTATTTTATTTAAAGAGTATTTTCAGAGTTTGGTGTATTTAGATAATTTATATTTACAATGTTGTTCTCTAATCTGTAAATCATTTAAATTATAATTATTTTCAATTAATTTACAACATTTTTTAACATAGGTCATCAGAATTTCTATTTGTTACTTATAAAGGAGTATTATATAGTTATTTTGTTAGGTAAATATATATGCATTTATTTTTTCATATTATAAATATTACTTATAAAATATAATTTAATATGTAACTAAGTATTTTCTTTTTTTATAGTCCTACTGAAGGATTTCAAGAAAATCATACTTTTTCTTTTGCTAAGCATTATCCAGATGGTATTACAAATATTGCATATCATCCTGCTCATCATTTATTGTTTGTCAGTGGTATTCCCCAAAATATTTATGGGTCTTTGGAAACTTCTAAAGCTCTTCATATGGGTATAACTGCTTGGAGGTTTTTATCTGATTATCCTCATTATAAACTTGTAACATCTCTAGAAGATGAACTTGTAAGTATAAAATTAAGATATTAAGTAGTAAGTCTCTATGAATGAATAAAAACTTTACACAAAAAATAATGCTGAATTGTCATATTATTTGTATATGTTTATATGTATTAGAAAGTTTATGCTTAAGGATGAATTGAAATTTAAATCTGAAGAATAAAGTTCTTATATGTATGAAAAAATAAACAATTTGACATTAATTTTTATAAATTATTATTCATTTGCAAAAAACATTTATTCTAATATTATAATTGAATTAAGTGTTTACATAATTAGAATAGCTATTTTAAAATTGATTAATTATTAACAAAATTTTATTTTCAAATAAATATATTTGAATAATTGTTATTCATTTTATATTTGTAGAAATTGCTTACGAAATTATGATGCATTTTATTCAGTTATTGTACCTTTGATAAATATTTTTATAATTTTAAGTCAAACTGAAAAGTACTGAAAACTAAAAAAATTTGCATATTGATTATTTCAGGATTTAGCAAAAAGAGGATGGCTGCAGATGATTTCTTTTTTAAAGAAATATAAAAAGAAAACAGAAGTTAGTGATTTGATTTTATTTAATTTTAAATTATTACATATTTTAGATAAAAGAACAATAATATAAGATACAGTAGAGTCCCGAAAACTTGGCACTCGATAACCTGGCAGTCCAGATAACTTGGCCACACCCTGGCAGGGTGCAAAATCCCCTAGTTAATTTTCATTATAGACAGCTTTATGCCTCTTAAAGTATTTTTCTGAGATCTGTCTTATCAGGTAAATTATTGTACACTGTGTATTCATTAATTTTCATTTTCATATAGTAAAGGCTCTATGCCTTCATAAAGTACATACTTTTCCTTTGTTTAAGGGTATTTGGGCAGTTTATTCTCTGTTGTATTTTCAAGCAAACAATACATACAAGTACAGTACAGTATTTTCTGAGGAAACACTCGTACTTATTCTTTTTTAACCCCATTCCCGATAACCTGGCATTTTCACAAACTTGGCCACCCTTCGGTTCACATTAGGCTGAATTTTCAGGACTCTACTGTATTAATAAATAACAAATTTGATTAGAAAATAAACAAAGCCTTTGGGATTTATCTAAAATTAACAATTAATAAACATGAAATTCTTTATTTATTTTTAATCAATGTGTCTTGTATAAATATTGATTTATTCAGATGTGCATTTAAATATTTTAAAAAACATTACAACATTATATTTTACACAAGAAAAATAAATAAATGTATATATATTGTAGTATGCTTGAGGTGAATGGAAACAAAATTTCAAGAAAATTTTGTATGTGCCAGACAAAGAAACTAACCAACAAACCAGAAATTTCTTAATGTTTTGGCTCTTTGAACATTGTTTTTCAAAGTATAGACATTGTTTTGTTAGGCTATCAACATTGTTCTAGATTCCAGACCTGTTTGTGTGTTATGATGGTTGGAAACATGGTTTTTGATGTTTGATAAACTTTTGATGTTTGATAAACTTTATTGATAACCGTCATATTATAAGACTCACTTTATTAAACAATTGTGTTAGAATATTAACCTAATATCATTTCATTAAATTTTCATTTAAATCATTCATATTTTGAATGCTTTTTTTTTATAATCATTGATTTCTTTTTGCAATGTTGCAACTTGACTATTTAAAATTTGTGGGGTGATTAGAACATAATTAAAATGATTGTTCTAGCCCATGCAACTTTCTTCAATGTAAGTAATTTAAAATTGAAGAAATCTAAGACTTAGCTCTGAAATAGCTAAATAGATCTATTTGTATATTTCCATATTGTCTTCACTTATTTCAATGGGGGCACTTCTCTGAAACTCAATGATTTTTTTATAGTGTAGATATGTGGAAAGAAAAGAACTCCAGCAGACAATATGTTGCCAAAGTCAGTCAAACTGAAGACTGTAGATATGTGAGAGTTTTTCTACAAGAGAATATTACAAATAATGATAGTTTTGGATTTATGTGAGGAATTTTACTTCATATATGGGATAAATTATAAGGAAACTCTGTGCCCATTACCAGCTCTTCAATATGCTTCAAAAACACAAGTTTTCTTGATGACTTCAGTAACTTGAGCATTTTGTTAAAGGCTTTTCCATAATCAGTTTTCCAGATTACCTAAATGGCTTGAGCAGTATTTTGTAAAAACTCTCTTTTTTTTTTGTATAACTTCTAATATGCATAATACAAGGCCTAAGTAACTAATAAATAGTTTTTCCAAAGAAAAAGCTTTTCATTTCAATTCTTTAGTTGTAAAATAGAAACAAATGTAACTTTTAAGTTATTGTTTCTATTCACCCAACCCATGGGGTAAAAAGAAACATCAAGTAAAAAGAAGAAAAAATGAGGAATTTGATTTTTGTATGTAATATACTGTTAAGGAAGATAAGACTGATTTTTTAGGATAACTTACAAGGTCATTAATGTTGCTGGAGTTACATAATTATGTGAGAGACCAGATGAGATGGAAATTTTATTTAACTGCAACCAAATATATCGAATATATTTGCTTAAATTTCACATATTCTATAAAGAAAATTTTCCCAACACAAAAAAAAAAAAACTGGAAGGATGTGATCACATCTTTCCCCAGATCTACTTCCTTTCCCAAGGTGACACATCTTCTGAATGTGTGTGTCATCAGAACTTTTATCCAAAATTCACCTATTAGTCAAAAAAACTTAACATTACCAAAAAGGGTATTGAAATTAAGGGGGAAGACCCCTGAAAATAAAAAGATGAACATCGAAATTGTTGAGAGAGTTTGCCTATCCCTATCCTTGTGTAAGTGTATTCCAGTCATCTCCACTGCAGATCCCTTCAACCACCACTGTCACTGGACCATAGCTGTGTTTACCTACTGGACATTTGACCATAAACTGTCCCATTCAGGAGCATTACCAAATCCAGCAGGAACCTCTTCACCCCTTCATCAAGACAATCCACAGCATCAATCAACCTACCAATCAAGGTATTTAACTTCATGCAAAAGAATGTATGCTCTCTCTCTCTTGGTTAGGAACCTGTAAACTTCAATACTTAATTATGTTACAGTATATAGCTTTATCCTAATTAAGTTATCCTATGTATACATATAAATATCGTAAATATTAATATCATACAAAAATAAATGGGTATTTTTAATTAAGAAGTAGTACTGTGCACTTCTTTTGGCCACATTGTGTCTCAGGATGTCCAACTCCCGAATCCGATCACTCATACATACAACCACTTGCGCATGAATGAATGAATCACCATTGCTGATCCTGACATAGGCATCACTGGTCTGGTGCCGATCCTTTCGTCACAATTATTTAGATAGCAAGATGTTTCTATTTACTCCAAATTACAATATATAAATGTATTAATTTAACTATCTATATAGTGAGATCAAATCTCTAATACTAATTGAAATAATCATCATGGTTATATTATATTATTGGGTTGTTCGGAAAGTAATTNATTTTTAAAATACTATTTAATTTATATAATTATTTGATAGGATCTGGTATTCAAGCTAAGTATTTCTCCAAGTGGGAATTTACTTGCTGCGGTTCATACCTCTGGTGCACTTTCACTTTGGCATATTCCATCATTAAGACCGAAATGTTTGTGGGAACTTTACAATCAAGTAATTAACAAAGATTTCATCAATTTTATGAAAATTTATTTTCATATCAGATATTTAATTATAATATTTGAAATATTGCATATTTAAAATATAGGAAAGATACAATGAAGTCAATCCACAATACTGTGAACCAGGGAAAAGAAAGAAAAATATATTCTTAAATGATCCTCTTCATTATCATATATCAGATATTAATTGGTGGTCAGATTTGGTAAATACATTCATTAACAATTTAAAATAAGCCCAACGGTTATTTTTAAAAATTTATAATTAAAAATATTTTTAAACTGTTCAAAATTTTGTTTTGATTATTGTTTCCAGTCCATTATAATAGCTCGTTACTCTGGAGCTGTTACTGTTTCATCTACGTTAACTTTTAAAAATCTTCTTGGAAGCTCACCAGAATGGTTTGAAGTAGTGCCTCAAGTATCTGCATGCAATGATGGAGGTTTCCTAATACTTGAAGTAAGTTTTGAAATTTTGTAATGTTACAGTTTAAATATTATTAAACTTAATTATGACTTTTTAAAGGAAAATACTGTAAAAATTTGTCATTTCCACCAATTTTTCTGCTACTGAACTATTAATATATTTCTTTTTATCTTATAATCATCCTTTAAAACTACTTTCTTACCCTGAATGTCACACTTTTATAGGAATTGAATAAACTTTCTATGTCTTTCATGTGATTTATTTGATAGGTAATAAATACTGTTAGGCAAATAGTTTAATCTTCCTCCTCTTTTTCTTTATTATAAAGTATTTTGTAAATTATTCATATTCTTCTTTGTTGGTGCAAGTGTAATCTTCATTATTTTTAGAGACAATTTTTTACTGAAACATTTAAAGACAGATATTATATAATTTCTTGACCAAATTTGAAGTAAATGTAATTCAATAAATTTTCTTATATAAAAAAATTTATTGAATATAATTTTCAATATCTGTAATGTATTGAGAGAATGGTGTAATAAATTTAAAGAACTCTTTGAATTAAAATTTAGACTAACAAAAAATAAAATAAAGCTGTATAAATGTATAGCAGTGCCTCACTAAATTGGGTAATTGGAGAAGCCTAGTCTGAAGTGGTGAGGTTTTTACTGAAATGTGTATGTATGGTCTGAAAGATACACTTTACTTTTTACAGATTACAAATTTTTGCAAATTTTACTGTGTACTTTAAATGAACGAATACAGTGATTTGATAAACTTTTGAATTGCAAAAGCAGTAGTAGCATTGTTCTTGTCATTGCCAACATTTAGTAATTTGAACTGAAAAAAGAAGCTAATTTTTTTTGTGTTTTTCTCTAACTGTTCCTTGATCATATCTTGACACATCTGTCCAAGAGTGAGATAATAGTTGTTACAGCTTGGACTAGAATTGACAAAATCATTATTTTAAAGAAATACACAATGCAAAATAGTAGTCTGAGTAGGAGTCTGATTCTACTGTGTTTATTTTTTATTTTATTTATTTTACTTATTTATTTTAATGTCAATTAAAGTAATGTTTTGATGAATATTAATTGATCAGAACAAGGAATTTTTCCCACAGATAAAAAAACAAGAATCCATTTAAAATACAACAAAAAAGAAAAACTAAATAAAATTGTATTGCATGAAATAGGTTTTTACAATAAGATTTAAAAGCAATTAAAATTCAAGAATAAAAAGTCTTAAATTTATATAGATTGACTTGAAAATACCTTATTATTCATACATTCTTTTAGAAACTCCAATTTGCATGTTGACTTCACTGCTAACTTTCTATACTACTTATAATATTCTGCCGCTGCCATACTATTAATCAATAATCTAAATCAACCTCAGCAGAACAATTCAAAATAAATCTATAAACATCTTTTTGGCTGCTGAGATTTGCTTTTATTTAGCAAACATTTTCAACTTAGTCTAATAGCCATCCCTAGGCTACAATCTTTTTTGGTACATATTTTACTATTAAATATCGTTCCAAAATAGAATACAATAAAAGAATAACAATGTTTAAATATTTGAATATAAATAAAAATTAATATAAAAAACAAATAACAGTAAAATGTAAAATAAATAACTCAAAATTATACAAAAATATATAATAGAAATGAGGCAATTATAATCTTCTAACAAACTTATTTTGTAGAATGTATTTCCATGCTTTTGGTAAGCTGTCGGCATCTCTTGCAATAATGCACTTATCTTTCAACCTACTTTTGTATATTTCAATTTTTTCAGCATTCTGAGCGAATGTAGGGAATGTACAGACTTAATGACGTTTGCCTCTTCCAATCTTATCACTGAACCCTCAGTCTGCACCATCCTGGAGAGTATTGTGTTGTTGGATCCCTTTCTTAAATTATATTGATGTTCTTAAATTTATAGTTTAAATAATTTTGTTTTTCTACTCCAGTTTGGTCATTTTGATCATAAACAAAAACTATTTCTATGATGATTTGGAAATAGTTCAAAATGTTTAATAAAAGAAGTTAATTGGAGTTAATTTCTCTTTGGAAGTATTTTGTTATTCTGAAAATTCTTGAAGTAATTTATATATAATCACTTGTAATTAATAACTTTTTTAAAAATCTGAATTTAATTTTAGTGTGAAAGTAATATATGTACAAAGAAAAGATCATTAGAAAGTCATGATGATATTACTGGAGATGAAAGCAGTGATGAAGAAGACAATTCTTACATAACCCATACTTCTCAGATTATGAAAAGAGCTTTATATTATGTGACAGATAGTGAAAAATTTCAACCACCAAGAAAAAGACCAAAGTAATTTTTAATTTTTTAATATATAAGTAATTTATCATTATAAATTTTATAATTTATTTTCTAAAATACATTTAAATAATATTGCACTTTTATTTTGAAATTATTAATTTTTATTCTTGCTATTGTGGAATGGTCATTTGAAAAAGAATTAAAATAAATATGAAAATAGAAGTGTAATTCCTTAAAAATGATGGGAGAATAAACAAAACCAATCAGTTGCTTGGTAAAATTGATAATTTTTTTTAAAAAAACTTAATGGTGGTTATTATAAAACCTTTCAAAAAATGAAAAGAGATAAAATGAAAAAAATTGATTTTTTTACTTAAAACTAAACAAATTTTATCAAACATAATGTATTTAATATCCATATGGCCGAGGTCAATAAAGGTGTCATTTTGCCTTTAGTAAGGTATGAGTCAGGAACCTCAGACCCTACCAAAGGCAAAATGACACCTTTGTTGCCCTCAGCCATCTGGATATTAAATACATTATGTTAGGATTTATCAAATCATAAGAAAAAATCATTTTTGCTCATTATTGAGTAGTTTAAGAAAAAATTTCAATTTTATTAAAGAACAATGACAAAACTAAAATGATTTGATTAACAGAGTGCTTTAAGAAAAATTTGAATTCAAATGTAGTTGCCATAGAAAAGCCCATTTTGCCAATAAAAAGCATTTGTATACAGGTGTCTATGTACGGAACATAGAATATTATTTTACTAGATTTGTGAATTAATGGATTTTCCATTATTTTATGTATCTTGTTTTATGTTAACATTGACCTGTTTAAATCTTATTTTAATTCATTCACGAATACTGTATATAGTGTAACAATATACATGAAATTACTGTTTGTATAGATTTATTTAGTTTTTATTCATTATGTATTAGCTATAATTACTTTACTTATTAATACTTAATTACTTTACTTATTAATACTTAATAAGTAAAGTAATTATATATAAGTAATATAATAAGTAATTATATTTAATACTTATTAATTAAGTACAGGTATCCCTTGTATAATCCACAGTAGTTATGTTCTGAAAAAGTGCTGTGTTATGTAAATCTGTGCTGTATGAAACAAAGGACTAATGCAAACATAGAGTTAGGTTCCAGAAGTTAGCAAAAGTATGGACCTTACTATTCTTTTTCATTACTAAGAGAAGTATATTTATTAAAGCAATCAATAACTTATTTCTAATCAATAATTAATTAACAATTACAATTAAAAGTACTGTATTACATGTTAATATTAATTTTAGTTAAACAAAGACATTTTCTTTTTGTAAAGTATCATTGTCATCTCAGCTTTTTTGTTGATTTTGATCAGAAGTATCAGCAACATTTTCATATATTTTATTTTTATCATAAAAATTTTTGTGAATGATGAAATAAAAATATGTTATTAATTAAATTAATTGAAAATTTGTTCTAGTGGGTTGCATTTGTTCGGTCAAGTATCGAGCGACTTTTTTCCAGAATTTGTTTTCAAATACTTAATTGTTTGAGTACCAAGATACCGCCATATTTCATTTGTCATTTTACGAATGATTGCTTACCTACAGTTTAAAAAAGTTTAAAAATAACATTGACCTAAAAATGTTCAAATGAACTTTACTAAATACAAAAATTAATCTATAAGGGGAGACTATCCACATTTTGATGAGATAACTTAATCTTTTTTCTCTTATAGAATTATCACAGAGAAATTTGCATATATTGTCAGGATGATCAGCTATTGGATGCTTTTGACATGATAGCTAAATATACTAATTTAGAAAAAATTTGGGAAAATGTTTTTGGTATCTCTCTTATTCCGTTTGAGAATTTTTGGACCTTATCGTGATCCTTTGTACGGAGTGACATATTTTTTTTTTTTTTTTTCATATTGGAGTATTTGATTTTGCCCAAAGGTGACATTTGATTTTTCCTTTAAAAGTGCGTTCGTGGCTAAGAAGTTTTGGGAGACTATCCACATTTGGACGAGATAACTTAATCTTTTTTCTCTTATAAGTGGGTGTAATTAATTTTTGTTCATAATGTTGTTTTTGTTTGGATAGTTCTCCTCATGATTTTGTTATCTTTTTATATTTGGATATTTTGTTTATAATAGATACCAAAAACAAATATTTAATCTTTGTATAATTTGTTTGTTTTATTTATGTATATGTTAATTTTCTCTGTAATAACTTGTGGATTGTAATATTTTTTTGGTGTGTAATGTATATGTAATAATTTTTGTATACCCCACATCATGGGTTCTTCCCAGTATGCCTAAATAAATAAATAAAAATAAATAAAGATTAATCTATAAAAAGAAAACAGTGACAGTCTTAAGGGCTAAAGTTTAAAAGCAATGATGACAACACCCAGTTGATAGGAAAAATAGTACAATTTGTTTCTTCCTTGTCCTATTAGTTTTCATTAAAGTAAACCTGACAAAAAGCACAAAATAATTTGAAAATTTTAATATTTTAAAATCCATGGGTAAATTTGAGATGATGCATGCTTACTTGAATATAAAAAAAACATTGAATAACAAAGTTTACACTTAAAAATTGTGAAATTTTGTACGAAGAATTTCCAAAACCATGTTAGAGTGAAACTATGTTGTAGAAGTACTGTGTTATACAAGGGATACCTGTATTAGTTTATTAAGTATTATTAAATATGCATATACTGCAACAACACACATGAAATTATTACTTGTGTAGGTTTATACAGTAATACCTCGACTTACGCTACCCCAACTTACGCAAACTCGGAGTTACGCAATTTTCAAATCTCGTCAATTCGTCTTTTGTTTGAGCACCATGCAACTCTTGATTACTCAATCCCCCCACACTATTGTTTAGCTTACGTATTCGGACGTGTCGCACGGAATCAACACTTAGCTCCAATTTATTTTGTGTTATTTATTTCTGTGTTTGTTATATCTATGGAGACTCGAGAGAGTCTATTTGGTGATTTCTTGTAACCGTGAACGAATCAAAAGACAAGATAAGATTAACGAGAGCATTTATTAGCTTACGTACATCCGACTTGGATTTTACACACATTGCAAAATTATACCCCGACTTACGCGAATTTGACTTACGCAGTTATCGCTCGGTCCCACCTATCGCGTGAGTCCGGGGTATTACTGTACTTATTAAATATTAGTTTAAACTTAAAAATAAATATAAATATCGCGTGAGTCCGGGATTTTACACACATTGCAAAATTATACCCCGACTTACGCGAATTTGACTTACGCAGTTATCGCTCGGTCCCACCTATCGCGTGAGTCCGGGGTATTACTGTACTTATTAAATATTAGTTTAAACTTAAAAATAAATATAAATATCGCGTGAGTCCGGGGTATTACTGTACTTATTAAATATTAGTTTAAACTTAAAAATAAATATAATTGCTTCAAGTGTTTAAAAATGAAAAACAGCTGCCAAATATAATTGTTAATGTTATGCTGTGTTTTCATGCAAGTAGACACTTTCAGTTTTAATCTAACAAACTTTACTTGTAAGTTATTGTAAAAAAGAATACAAGGATACTTAGCTCTGCTTTTGCATACACCTCGTCTTTTCAACTCTGGCACTAGTAGAAGTCAGCGCCCCCTTGTATTCTCTCCAATTTTTGCTTACTAAATTAAATACTGTTTCTAACAATAATAAATATAATAAATCAAAATTCATTCATCTATGTGTTCTATTTTAAAAATTTCATTAAAAATGGTTCATATTTTTAAAGTGACTTTTGTTATTGCTTAAAATTCTATGAAACTTTCAAAAGTTACATTTACAATATTTACAATCTGCAATACACACTAGAACAAATAAAGTATGTTTAATTTTATTATATAAGAATCATTTTCTACAATTAGTATATGAAATTTAAATATCAAATTTATATAATAAAAATGTAATGCATTTCAGGATTCTTACAAGAACTTACAGATTGTTGTGTTTAAAATCTACTACACCAGAAGAACTCTATTCCAGAAAAGTAAAATGTTTCATTAATAAATTTAATATTTTATCATATGCATTGTATATAAGTTAAAAAATATTTTATTATTTATTATAATTTATTGAATTTTATAAATTTGTGATATGCTATTTAAATTTTAGTTAATTTATAATAAT